AGGGTTTTTCCCCTTTAATGGCATGTTTTTTGCATTTTCTGGCTTAGAAAATTTTCCTGGTGAATTTTATGAGTAATTATAGTTTTTAGATGATTTTTCTAGCATTGGATAGTTTTTGAAAAATTACGGATATATAACGGACGTGGGGCCCACTAGTGCGAAAAGTTCGGAAAAATTCGGCCAATAAGGTTAAGTTTCGGATACTGAGTGAAATTTATCGGGTGTTAAGAGATAAGTATAGGATGTGATGTGATTGATGTGAGAGGAAAACAAAAGGATAGAAATGCATTAATGAAGTGACACTTGTCATGTTGGGATTGGTTTCACTTGTTGACAACTATTCATTTTTTTTGACTTTTCTTACCAATTGATTAAATATCTCAAAAATCACAAAAAAAATCACTCTTGTCTTCACCTTCTTGGCCGGCCACCTTGAGCTTAAGAAGGAAGAAAACTCTTCAAAATCTTGGCTACCATCTAGCTCAAATCCTCCAAAACAATTGCTTGATCTTGTTTCTACTCCATAAAATCTCTCCATTTGGTACTAGTAAGTGATTTGGTGAAGTGTTTAAGGAAGCTAAGGTGTCCAACAACTCTCCCTCTCTTGTTTACTAGGTGAGTGGTGATTGAACTTCCTCCTACACTTAATGAAGCTTAAGTTGTGCTTAGTGGTAGCTAAAGTGCTGAAATTTGTGGTTTATTTCTTGGTTTGAGATGAAATGATGAAGTTTTCAATTTAATGGTGTATTTTCTGGTTTAATGTGATCATGATGTTGTGGTTATCTATGATGGTTGGTAATGAAGGGTAATGACTCTAGTAGGTGTACATGATTGGTAATTGCAAGCAATTTTGGGTTTGGAAGGAATTTGAGAAAGTTAGGGTTTTATATCCCCAATTCTGTCCGATTTTGTATCTCATGGTTAGAGGCCGAATTGGCCTTGTCTTAAAACATGAAAGTTGTAGGTATTGATGTGTTTGAGGTGCCTGTAAAATTTCAGGTTCATCGGAGTTGTGTAGAGTGAGAAAAGTCGATTTTACTGTTGCTGTTCTGGGTTCTTCAGGATGGCCGAACTGCGTCTGTAATTGGTGGTTTTGGCTGGAATTGCTTTGGATTTGGTTGTTGAGGCCTTCTGATGAAATGTAGCTTGATGTCTTAGCTACCGCATGCCTTTGGTATGAATGAATTTGGACTTGTATAGACTGAGTTGGACTAATTACAGCATAGTGTATTTTGTAAACCTGCAATTAAGGTTCTGGTTTGGTATTTTGCATATTTGACCTAGTTGTGCTAGGAATTGGACTGAGTGACCTTCTACATTGTTGTAGCCCTGTTTCTTAGCTTCGAAACGGTGGGTCTTACACCCTCATCCGATAAGCGTAGTGCAATTTGTGCCATTACCGCAAACTGAGGACAAAACTGTTTTTTTTTCAGGGCCAAGTTAGTTACATTTCCTGATTTTCTGGTTTGCTATAATGCTTATATATGAATATGAAACCCTATTGGGGTTGTGATTGGCATGGCTTTATGACTCGTTATCGAGTCTCATTGTATTTGTTTACGTGTTTTAGGACGTGACGAGGGTTCACGACGACCTTTTAACGACGGTGCATGAAACATCACCTACTTGAGTAGTGAGTATACTACTCACTTGAATGTTTATAATGTGGCTTTGCTATATGTGATTGTGATGCCTTGAAGGCTTGTTTGGCTATTGGACATGGTTAAGGTGAGGGTGTACTTGACCGCCCTCATCCTTTTTATCTTGTTAATGACTGTTTACCGTTTCACTGTAATACTGCACTTGCTATATGAGATATTGAATTCCATTCATGGGAAACTGTTTGGGTGTCGGTTGGACGAGTATCCAACGGCCCTACTGCATTACTGAGCTCGACCCCGTTGGTAGTTACTTGAATCGAGCCAGCGAGGGCTTGGTCGTGAAAATTGACTAGCCACGGGGACTGAAATGGGAATCTTGTGGTAATGAGACCCTTGGTTCCGGTGTACTCGAGTATCACCTAAAGCTACTGCTTGGAGTGCGGGCCCGGTTGGGGTATGTTGGGTGGAAGGAATGGAAGTGAAGTGAGGTCTACGGTCGGGTATTCTTAAACATTGACGGAGGGTCAATGAGGTTGGATCAAGAATGTAAGCGTGGAAATGGGCTCTTGAGAGCCGTCCGTATCCTTTTACCGACTTGTTTTATTTCTTAATTGCGTACTTGAGATGAAAGTTAAGTGATCTTTGTTGATTATGTGATAGTTGCTCACTGAGCTTTAGCTCACTCCGTTCCATTTGTTTTCCTTACAGGAAAAATGACTATTTTGGGAAAGGTTGTGCTAGTTGGTTGTCAAGTTGAGCTCATGTAAATGTATATTTTGAATAGCTCCTTGAGGGTGAAAACCCTAAGTGTTTTGTTTCAACCAATGGTTGGTTTGTAATTGGCCAATTGCACATGTGTGAACTTGTTGGATATTTTGGTATACCGCTTTGGCTTGTAAATGTTAAATTTCGATGTATATATGTTGGATTGATGTTTGGTTGAACTCCGGATTCTGACATGGCCGGTACTGTTCATCATCGGCTTCGATTTTCATATTTTTTTTATTTTGTGATTTTGACTTGTTTGCGCGCGTTGGTGTGTTCCGGAATGTAGTAGATCGACGTAAACTGATCCGTTAGTCCTGGCGAGAGCTGGGCAGGCAGTCCGCTAACCCCTTTGGTTCGCCTTAGGGGAAGGTGGGGCTGTTACAAGACGACCCTACTTGCCACTGTCTGCCAATTAGTAAATTTTGTCAAATAATTAATTCTGGTATATCGGATTAAGCAAACTCTTCGAGAACAGGGTGAATCAAGTAACCCATTGCACACCTAGAGTCTCTGCTCCAGTACTTAGAATTGATTATTGACTACTTTTGACGGGCGTAGGGTATACATATAACATTAAGCTCATCCTAATCAAGTTTTACATTTATAAACTCCTAAATACCCTACACGCGATTTATCGCAAGTATACGAATCGTGAGCGAGTATAGGGTATTAAAAGTCGATCTCACAAGGAAGATTGCAATTACCGGCACTACTAAAGCTTCTCTATTATTTAGACTATCAATGAATTATAACAAATTTAACCTACTGAACTTATGCAAGAAAATAACAAATGAAAGCTCCTTAAGTTGTGGTATCCCTAACTACTCATGCAAGTGCTATATTTGGATCATTGAATACTACTATCTAGGCTAGTTATGGTGTAATTTCCTTAAACATGTGAAACCTACTTTCGTAGTGAATCAACTATATTCATAACTAATCCATACATATTCTCATGGTTATGAAATTAGCTACAAGTTCATTTCTTCAATGAAATTAATCACTAAAATCACATAGGTGCACCTCTACTCTCGTGAGCGTACTCCCTATGTTTAGCACTTCTTAAACTAGTGTTAAATCTCAATTTTCATTGCAGAAACAACACCTTAAATAATCACAATCAATGGTACCAGATTAATCATGATTTAAAGAGCCAAAGTACTAAATAACTTGCTCAAATCATAGCAATCAAATAACCAAATAATAAATACTAACAATTATAGAAAGTTCAACCAAACCCAAGGCATAAACGTTAGAGACACATATTAAACACAAAATCCAGAACTTGCATATCAACTAAACTTAGAATCCAATACAAAAGATAAAGAGTTGGAAAAGAGATAACCATTGTCACATGAGCTTCAACTCCTCCTTTTTCATCTCCATTTTCATCCTAATCTAGCTAATATACAAGAATGGAAGAGCTATACTATTCTAAACTAAACTATCCTACTACTCAGAAAGTGCAAGAGCTACATCTCTGCACTCCAAGTTTCTCCTGTATGTCTCTCTATTCTCCCTTCAATCTTGCAAGCTTTGGCTATATAAAGGTGAAAGTTGGTCAAGAAGTGAGGTTTACACCTCCCTTTTACAGCTGGGAATGTTTCTCACATGTCTAGCATCACCTGTGACTTAGTGGAGGTGAAATTGAGTTTCCCACGTAAAGAGCAGCCTTCTCTGACCACAATCCGGCCAGAAATCTGGCCAAGTTCCGGCCGGATTGCTACAGTGACATTTTGGTGCACTTTTGTTCAATTTCCAGCTCTGCTCCAATTTTGTGTCAATTTCAACTGAACTTTTGTTGATGATAAAAGCTGATTTAGCTCTTGATCAACATAAAACTTGTAGCCCTTTGAGTTAGCTTTCCAATGCATCAAGAATCACCTCATTTGGATCTGTGTAGGCTGAGAAATGACCGAAATACCTTTGACTGCTCACTGCCCTATTTCAGCTTCGACCAATAGAAATTAGCTACTGTAATTCGGCTTTTTAACCTGGAAAACCTTCAAAATAGATTCAGATGTCTTCACCAAAGTTGTAGATCTATCTCTTATCTTCAAATTGGTTTAAGAATCATCTCAATCCGATCATTATAGCTCAAGTTATAGCCAAAATACGAAAATGTGTCAAAACTGTCAAAATGCACAAAATCCAAGTAAAAAGTGATAAAAACCTCATTTAATTACTTAAAAGCATTTTTCACCAATTATAGCCAAAATGAATCATTTTCTTCCAATAATGTAACCAAAGTGACTAACAATAATATAAAATATCATACAATTATTACATAAATTAGTCACTTATCAGCTTTTATTGGCAATTAGGTTTATTTTTATTATTGCACAGGTTCGGCACCTGTCATTAGGAGTACTGGTTTTGCTGTGGGATTTTTCGTTTTCTTTGTCAGCTGCGTCAGCTGCATGGTGCTTTAGAGCATAAGCCTTTGTTTTGTATCGAAACATCACGGCCAAAATTGCCAAAAGCATATCGAAACATGAACACAAAATGAAAGATGTGAGGAAACTTTAATGAAGATATGCCTTGAGATTTAAACACCAAAGACAAAAGCTCAAAAAATATTATCAACGGATCAAAATAAGAACTTGATTATTGGTAAAACACTCCAACAAGTTAAGTCGAACCAAGATCAACATAATCAATTATTTGATTTCAAGAGTCATAACTTTTGCTTGTAAAGAACAAATAAAGTTAAACAATTTATTGCTTTTTTCCCCCCAGTCAGCTGTGTACCTCAACATTATTTCACGTCAAAAACTTGTTTTTCCTCGGATTAAATACCCTAGCATCTGAGGTTATCACCAGTCTCGACACCCAATTGTCTACAATATTCAGTATAATACTCAACTCGAGCACTAACTGTGTTTGGATTTGCACCATCACATTCAAGCCGACCATTAATGGCACGAATTGTAGCCCCAAAACCCTGGCCAGAAGTGATAAGATCATGACAATGGTTCATCCAATACCACAAGCCAGTTTTGAATGAAATAACATTATTTGTAGCTACAGTTTCAGGTTGGCTGAGTCCATTGAATCCAATGCTTTCACCTGCTGGTCCATAGTTAGAGTTCCATGATAACTGTATTGGACCCCTGCCGTAATATCCCTTGCCTGGCACACATGGATACTGAGTGTTGCTCTCATCACAGTAATCTCTGGAGGGGCCGTCTATCTCTTCTATGTAGCACAAATCTGCGCAATATAAAGAAATTTTGTCACTCAATTGAAATGATTGATAAAGGGTTAGAATCAAAGAAAATCAGGAGGTCTGGAATTTTTTGTAAATTTTTAGATTTGATTGTTTTACTAATGAATTCAATTGGTGAGAAAAGACTTTATCCCATTTTGTAAAAATTGGGTTGGACAGACCTAAAGTAAACACTCTTTTTATGAGGTAAAATTTTAGAATGATTTAACATTATAGGGTTATACGATAGATAAATAAAAATTGGCAATAGCAAGATTAAGAAGGGACCAACAGTGATATAAAAATTACAAAGGTATCATGGACGTCTAAAATATATTTGGCTAATAAATTTGAACTAATTTACGGCCAAATTTAGGTGAAATAGTTAATTCTACTTGGTAAATTGGAAGTTCGGAAACGTGTATCTGTCAGTTGTCATACTCATGAGCGAGCCAATCTTAACTTAAAAAAGAAAAAGAAAAAAAGAAAAAGAAAAAAGGAATCCAAAAGATAAAAGTAGAAAAGGCATGAATTTTAAAACGTAATCGTAATACCTTGTACCCGAAACAAATATGTGCAATACTTATTAAGCTAAGCAAAGCCACATGATCTACTCTTAGATGCAGCAAAATATACAACCACCTTAAGCTTGGAATGTAAAGGCAGAAAAACTTGCTTATGTAGATATAAAAGTGACCACTACAAGAAAAGTAAAAAGAATATGGAGATAATAATCCTTCTGTTCATCATGATAAATTATTTAACAGTAATAAATCTTTCATATTCAAGTTTTATTTTTTGAAGAAAAAATTCTTGGATAATAGTGCACAGGAGATTCCAAGATATACTATCTAGAAATTCACAGGAGCTACTAAAAAAGTAGAAAATATCTTCAAAATTTAATTTCCAAGCTAGTGTTATTCAAAACTTACGTCCAGTCTCATGAGTGACATGAGCAAAGAAAGCAGCAATCTCCCTTTTAGAATCATCAACAGAACCAGCGGTTCCAAACTGGGGATACGAGTTCAGAGCTTCAAGAAAAGCTGATCGAGTATAGAACCCTTTTCCAGCACAGCTTGAAGCAGCTTGATCAGCAATCCCATTAAAGAAAGCGTCCGTCACAATATCAGCAACTGAAACGCCACTATTACCACTGCTCGGAGCAGCGGTGCAAGGGCCGGATTGACAGCCAGAGCCGCAGTAGTCGTTGCCGGTACCGCAATAGCCGAATTTGCTGCAGCACAAGTCTGGTGCACAGCCGCAGTTTTGGCTTGAAATCAGCTGTGGAAAGGCTCCTACAAGAACTACAATGGAGAAAATGATGGTTGGAAAACTCTTCATTTTTGGATTTGATAAAGGAGAGAAGCTTGTGGGCAGCAGTTGTATCAGAAAAAAGGGTATATGTAGGGAAGAGAACTGAAAACTGATCAGCTTGTGTGAAGCATGCACAGCTGCTATTGTTGAAAATATTGAATTTGAGCAATTAAAGAAAACAGAACAGAAGACGAAAGCGTGAATGGTTGACTTCTATCGAGAGTATTGACTTTGACATTGTCAATGAAGCGGAAACTTTCTTTCTTGGCTTCTAGAATGGGAAAGGTCAAAAAGAAAGATTTTGGCCAATTCGTATGAACAATTGTGAGAATAAGGCATGTAGACTCACAAGTCCCCACTAGAATGTGTGCAAAAATATAATTTGAAGTTGCCTAAATCATTTAATTTCATGCTTGTTATTGAGTTTATTTGCCTAACTGTGTTTTAGTAATACTTCAAAATTGTGTTTGAGTTAGAACGGAAAAAAATATGAGACATTTTTTTTTTAATTGCAATTCCAGAAATAAAATCTTATAAAACATGTATTAGAAAAATTTTGAGGGTAAATGATATGAAAAAAAAAAAGAAGAAATAGTTCTATAAATTGACATAAGTGTTCATCGGCTTTTGGAAAAATTAAGAAAGAATAAAGCAGCCGACATATCTATCATGCATAACAACATTATGTGGCTTTTGTTAGTACACGCTATGACCATATATGTTTCATTTGAGATGCTTGTCGGACGTGTTGAATTGTTGGCAATGAAATGCTCCAAAATGTCAGCACTATAGTTTATAAATAGTATTAGGTCATAGTGAATTATCGACATATCGTTACATGCAGAGTCGTGAAAATATACAAGTCTTTCCCTATCATTAATTAGTTGGTCAAATGACAATTTTAGAGTGGCTGCTGACTATGTCAAGAAACATCTTGCAGTAAATTGGGCGATTTAATGTACTTTTCTTTTTCTAAATATTTGCACTTAAACTCTCAAATCGACCATAGTTTTAACTAATTTTGCTCTGGCTTTATTCTTGATTCGCAAAATTCAGAAAAACCAAAACAAACCCTTGTTACTGAAGATATCAAAATGGTAACCCAACTAAGTAATTGATTTTGAAAAACATTCTGAACCAAATTTCAAGTTTTGGTTTCTTTGCTCTTTTTCTACTGAAAGGCAACTTCCCCGGGCCAAGAAATTGAAACAAATAGTACGATGCTTAAGTTTTCTATGCTCTTATGATCAAGTCAAACCATGCTTATAATCAATTACATAAAAAATTACGGGCAATTTCGTCATTATTTGGGAGGAGGAGGAATATTAAGCAAAAAAAAAAGTTCTATTAAGAAAACGATTAAGCATATTATTTTCCAGGAATAAAAAAGAACGAGCAGAGAAATACATTAGTTTGGATGACATTACAACATTTAGCAACATGATTAGGGATGCAATGGGATGGGTGCCAATTGGGAATCAATGGGATGGGAGAAAATGCAGGAGGGGATGGAGGGATTGAAGAATATTTCTCCTCCAACATTAAATGGATACCTCCATCCCATCCCCTAAAACCCCTTGTTGCTATTCCTAAACAGGATGCTACTTATATCCTCTCTCTATGAGCATGTGTGGCTAGTGAGGAATGCAGGATTTTGATTTTGGCGGGGGGAGGGTGGGGCAAATTGACAATCAAGAAACAATAGAAAAAAAACCTTAGCAAATAAAGCACACAAACTTAAAATGAAAGTTTAATATACGATAAATAAAATATAAATATTTTTAATAATAAAATACACCATATAAATAAAATGATAGAGCAATAATTGGGCACCATAAGTGCTGTTATTTGGTCATAATGTTGGCTACTTATCATGCTAAGTAGTGCAGCTTTGCTCATATTTGATATTTGTGTAAATTACAGGCGGTTGGTGTTGAAACTGATCTCTCGAGGCAAATTTTCAGAAGACTTTTTATTTCAGAGCGTGCCGACGCCAGAAACTATAGAGAGACTCCTCAAAGGTGGACCGCGGGACTAATTAACTAAACTTACCTTTATTCCTGCTTGACGCTGCTGGAAGTGCGTTAAAACAAAAAGGCAATAATTTCCAGCGAATTGGGTAACAACCAATAAGGAGGAAAATTAGGGGCACTAGCCTACAAAGCCGGACCCCGCGAGACTGGTAGACAAAGTGGGGAATTAGGAAGTCTTCAAAGCGGCTATTTTCTCGTGGGCTGCAGAGGTGAAAAGGACAAGTAGTTTGAGTCTTGCAGAGAGCTTTTGAGTTCTCTTACGTTTTGTCTTGCGGTAGCCACCCGGGGGAGGATTGAAAAAGCCATATTCACGTGGGATTAGGAGATTAGCTTTAGTTTCTTGTATCCCTGGGTAGACGATCTGCTCTCTGCTTTGCTTTTGGCGACTTTCTTTAGACCTTTTTCTTTACTTTTCTCCGGCACGAACACGGAACCAAAAAAGAAGCAAGACTTTTCGTTTGTCTCGTCGTTATTTCATCTTTCCCAACTTTTTGGTAATTAAGTGGATGGAATCAATCAAATCACGCGAGATTGATGTGATGAGGAGTGGCTAGGTTTCTCTGCTACCCAAAGGTCGACGCGAAGGCGCGGTCCATAACATCTGTGAGATCTAATCGAACTTTCACTATTTCTTCCAATCCGTTACTATTCGTGCGTTTTCTGGATTAACTGTTTATGATTATTTTATTAATTGAGTATCAACAGCCGGATATTTAATTTAATCTAATAGCCTACTGTCACGTTAACTAAATTGAATCCGTAATTATTCGTTTAGTTGATAATTAGTGACAACCATCATAATTGGCTTTATGTTGGGAAAAACGTAAGATCTAATTTAGATAAACCCTCTTATAGCGTGTTTATTGGTTAGGGTTGGATTTTTCTAGCGTTAATGCAACTGAATAATTAAATTCCTACGGTCGTATCTAGGGTTATTTTCTGGTTAGAGAAACAGTCAACGGTCGTACCTTGGCTATCGAAAAAGTAAGAAAAAACTAGCAGTCAGAGCTTGTTGATCGCTATAACCAACCTAGTGACGAATGAGTGAAATATCTTTGCATCGATGATCATTTAATTGGACCGTGCCTGAAAAGTTGATCCTTTGGATAGAATTTTGCTAATTGCTATTTTCAGTGAATTGTACTTGGCGAGTTAGCTTTTGAATTTTGTTTATTTTATTTTCATTTTCATTCCATTAAATATCCCCCAATTTTGTTCTATTGACTTGGAAAGAAACAACTTCTTACCCGTTACTTGTGGAATCGACCCTACTTGCCATTTTCAGAAACAACTTCTTAAATTTTAATCCTTATGAAACCCAGCTTCTCTCTCAATTTTCAGAGGTTTCTTTTCCTTCATCATGTCAAAGTTGCTATTATAATCACTGTAATTAGACAGCTAAACCTGTCATTCCAATTATACCCTTGGTCCGCCGTGGGAAATACATAAAATGTGGTAGCGCTGCCCAATAAGTCCCACATTGGACCATATAAAATTGTTTAAGGACTAAATTGGTAAAAAAAATCGTAAATGATGAAATTGATTTAAGTGAAAAAGTTCAAGGACCAAATTGGCAATTTTTCCTTATTATGATTATGATTATGATTATTATTATTATTATTATTATTAGTCTGAGATGCCGAACAAGTTGTGGAGACTTATTTCACCTTTACAAGGTCATTGGAGGGCTTGACGAGGTGCGATGTGGTAAGGAAAGGCACAAAAAACTCTTTTTTCTTTATTAAAAAACATACAAATTGCACTAATAATGGCTGAAAATGCATCCAACATGCAATAGTGAAAAATCGTTAGATGCAAGATATATAAAAGTTAACAAAAATTATCTTAGTACCTCTGATATATTCCAAATTCAGATAAATCATCTGCCCCCAATGAATATATGTGCATATCATCATTGTCAAAAAATATTTATGCATATCATTGCCGTTAGATTTTATATTGAAGTGGTTAAAGCTCCAAATCTAGTAGAGAAGAAATTCAACACTTGAGAAAATAAGTTAAGAAATTCAAGATTTGACATACAAATCTGAAAAGCTCTCAAATCTAACAAAACAAGATATAAAATTATCTGAATAAAACTCTCACTAGAATATCTTAGTAGAGAAGAAAATTCTCACTAGATAGTCTCACTATACTTTATTAGACATAAAAAAAAAAAAAAGAGAAGTCAAACAGAGGGAGGAAGGCAATCCTCCATGGAGGAAATAATAATTGTCTTGAAGGTTGTGTAGAGAGATGGTGGAGAAACTTCTTTTGTTTTATCTATTGGTTATCTTTCTAATTGCTAGTTAACGAACAATAAACTCTAAATGAAACTACTAAATTTGCAACCGAAGACATTTTTGGGCTTGTATCTTAGTATCGTAATCGTCACCCAATTAGAGCCGCCCATGACGGCTTCATTAAATATATAATTTGGGGGAACCAGGATTTAAGGCCAAATTTCGGCAACCTTCAAGGCACTTCATTGTTTTCTCACAAATTTTGTTTATTTATTGTAAAAGATTAACTTTAAAGTGTCCTCAAATTTCTTCCCTATCTTCTCTCAAACTTTACCAGTGAAAATTGTTTGTCTTCGGGTTCGTTTGTTTCGGGTGAAAATGTTTTCCAGAAAAAGTATTTTCCTAATTTCCCGTGTTTGATTGCACAAAAGTTACTGAAAACATTTTACATAAATTTTCACTCATCTTATGGAAAACAACTTCCCTTCCAAACTTACTGAAGTTGTTTTCCGAAATGCATGCATCCCGCCTGTAGTATGTTCCAAACTTACTGAAACCATCTTGTAGTATGTTCTTTTTTTTTTTTAGTGTAAACAGGAGGACTCGAACCAAGACCTCTTCCTTACACTCCCTCCCCCGTACCATCCAACCCAACCCAACCCTCCCCCTAGTATATTCAAAATAAAAAAAAACCTCATCCTACTCATCCTATTCTAGTAATTAATTATGTATAATAGGGACATTCTTTTCTAGAGAAACTTTCAGCAATGATAGTGCAAGATATATGTCACAATAAGCATTGCATGTGATTGATATTTGACACTAAATGGCCAGCAATTTGTTTATTGCTTAAGGAGATATTTTTTATTCATATATACATTTCTCCAAGATTTTTTAAAGTTAAACAATGAGATAAATTTTCTTATTTTGCATGGGAAGAAGTATGTAGTTATAATGTGTAGAAAGTAAAGATAGAGATAAAAGTGAAAATATTTCAAAAGTTAAACAAACACCAAAAAAATGAAGTAAGAAAATATTTTCAATAAACTAACCAAACACCTGAAAATGATGAAAGAGAAATGATTTTCATGGAAAATTACTTCCACGGAAAATATTTTCCCAAGAAAAACATTTTACTTCCAACCAAACAGACCCTTCATCTCGTTGATTGTCTCCCCCAGTGCATACAAATGTATTATGGGCATTTTGGTGAAAGAAAGGCATAAACTGAGTTCTGCACAACTAAATTTTGCCAATAGCATATGAAAATATGAAGAAGAATAATAATAAATGAAGGGTCTGTCTAATAAGTATTCATAGGGAACCATTGAAATATATCTCAAGTGTCATGTTTTTGGAAATGTAAAATTAATAGAAAAAATAAATAAATACAAGAGAGAGTAGATAAAATTAAATAAGAAAAGTTAATAATTGTTAATAGATATATATACATAATAGATTAGATGAACGTTAAATATGTTAACAAGTACCTTATTAGCACCCGTTAAAAAAAGCTATAAATGAAAGATGTGATCACCAAATCATTGACAAAGAAATGTGTTGAAAATGAAACAAGAAAGTCAAACATGATAAGGGATCAAAAATGGAATTTAATAATTGCAGATACTCCAAGAAGTTGAGTTGAAATCAGTTATCCGATTTCAAATTCACAACTTCTGCTGTCAAAGAACTACAAAGGGACTCAACTTCTGCTAATTTATATTAGTTTCGAAACTCTTACAAGTACCCTAGCATCTGAGATTATCACCGGGATCAACACCCAACTGGTTACAATATTCAGCATAATACTCAACACGAGCACTAACAGTGTCCGGATTTGCACCATCACATTCAAGCTGTCCGTTAACGGCACGAATTGTAGCCCCAAAACCCTGGCCAGAAGTGATAAGATCATGACAATTGTTCATCCAGAACCACAAGGCAGTTTTGAATGAAATAACATTATCTGTGGCCACAGTTTCAGGTTCAGTTAGTCCATCGAACCCTATGCTTTCACCTGCTGGTCCATAGTTAAAGTTCCAAGATATTTGTATTGGACCCCTGCCGTAATATCCCTTGCCTGGCACACAAGGGTACTGAGTGTTGCGCTCATCACAATAGTCTTTGGAAGGGCCGTCTATCTCTTCTATATAGCACATATCTGCACAATATAGAGAAGTCTGTATCAATTATCACTGCATTCAATTGCTTATATGAAAGCCACTCATTGATACATTATGGATTTTAGATATTTTTACTATTAAAAAACCTATAATCTAAATACAAAATAAATGAGAACATAAAAAAAATTAATTATTTAAAATCAGAATCTATAGTCAGTTATAATAATCAATCAAGAACAACCCCAAAAAATGTCATCAATATTTAAGAAGGGACCATATGTGATAAAGAAATTATAAAGTTATAAGTAATCACAGACTAAATAAATAACCAATACAACAAAGTAGAAAAAATTAACGTCAAAGTGGGACGGAGGGAGTATATGTTTTTCTTGGTATCCTAGCAATATGATAGTTGGAGCAATAACCATTGTCAAATTTTGGTGTTTGATTGTTGCTCTCATGCTTGAGGGCAAGCATGGTTCAGGTGTGAGGAGAATTGATAGGGTGTTAATTGTTAGTAATTTTATTGTTAATTTTCCCTTTTATCCTTGCCAAATATTGTTTTAATTATTAATATTTACTTATATTTGGTATTTGGACTCAATTTCAGGGAATAGAGTAGAAAACTACAAAAAAGGAGGGACTTTATGGAGACAATGGAGACTTCAAACAACCGGGGCCACATGGTGCCACAAACGGATGGCATTTCCTTTTTACTGATTAGGAGTTGAAGTCTTTGATGGGCAACAGGAAACGAAAAGTAGAGAAAAATTCGGCAGAGCTTTCTTTTTGTACTTGGACTCCCAATTCGTTGGGGACCACAGAGAGCATTAAGGAGTCATACTTTTGCTTGGAATAAAAAGAACGTATAGAGGCTAGGGATAGTTTTTAGCAATAGTTTAGTTTTCTTCCTTTTTCCTTTTCATGCATGCCTACTGTTCGACAAAAGTCCCAACTGGAGAAATATCTTTCACCTCTTGATTATTTAGTGAAAAACCCGATGCCTTTGCAATCAATTAATTTGCGTGGAAATTTATTTATGCGGCGTGGCTAAACTTTTCATCTAGTCAAGGATCAACTCGACGGCGCAGTCCCGAATATCTGTGAGATCTAATTAGTTTTCACGCGTTCTTAATTTGTTAATAATTGCGCGTTGTCTATTCGAATTTCCATGGGATTATTTTGTTAATTGGATGTCAAGGGATCGATGTTCAATGTGACTTATTAATCTCCTGCCAAATTAGTCAATTAAATCCATAATTGTTTGATTGGTTAATATTAGTGGCAACTGGCGTGTTTACACACCAGGGGAACGTGCAATCTAATTTAAATAACCCTCGTAGCGTGTTATTGATTGGGGTTAGGTTTTTCTAGTTATTAATGCAATTGAAAAATTAATTCCTACGGTCGTACCTAGGAGTATTTTCTGGTTAGGGGTAATCAATGGTTGTACCTTGGTTATCAATAAATTAAAGAAAAATTGGTCGTTAGAGTTCGTCGGCGACTATAACTAGTCTATTAATAAATTAAGTGAACCTCCCTTACATCAATGATCGGGTAAGTGGACTATGTTTGAATAGTTGTATTCTTGGTTAGAATTTATCTATTCTTGAATTAATTCCTGTGTATATTCGTGTTAGTTAATTATTCGTTTTATTTGAATTGCTTAATTATTTGTAGTTTTATTCTGATGAAACACCCATTTTACCAATTGGAATCTCAAAGAGACAAATATCCTCAATTCCTGAGGAGACGTGTGAGAACCCGTATTTTCCCTAATAATTTTCCTAGGGTTTTTCCCCTTTAATGGCATGTTTTCTGCATTTTCTGGCTTAGAAAATTTTCCTGGTGAATTTTATGAGTAATTATAGTTTTTAGATGATTTTTCTAGCATTGGATAGTTTTTGAAAAATTACGGATATATAACGGACGTGGGGCCCACTAGTGCGAAAAGTTCGGAAAAATTCGGTCAATAAGGTTAAGTTCCGGATACTGAGTGAAATTTATCGGGTGTTAAGAGATAAGTATAGGATGTGATGTGATTGATGTGAGAGGAAAACAAAAGGATAGAAATGCATTAATGAAGTGACACTTGTCATGTTGGGATTGGTTTCACTTGTTGACAACTATTCATTTTTTTTGACTTTTCTTACCAATTGATTAAATATCTCAAAAATCACAAAAAAATTCACTCTTGTCTTCACCTTCTTGGCCGGCCACCTTGAGCTTAAGAAGGAAGAAAACTCTTCAAAATCTTGGCTACCATCTAGCTCAAATCCTCCAAAACAATTGCTTGATCTTGTTTCTACTCCATAAAATCTCTCCATTTGGTACTAGTAAGTGATTTGGTGAAGTGTTTAAGGAAGCTAAGGTGTCCAACAACTCTCCCTCTCTTGTTTACTAGGTGAGTGGTGATTGAACTTCCTCCTACACTTAATGAAGCTTAAGTTGTGCTTAGTGGTAGCTAAAGTGCTGAAATTTGTGGTTTATTTCTTGGTTTGAGATGAAATGATGAAGTTTTCAATTTAATGGTGTATTTTCTGGTTTAATGTGATCATGATGTTGTGGTTATCTATGATGGTTGGTAATGAAGGGTAATGACTCTAGTAGGTGTACATGATTGGTAATTGCAAGCAATTTTGGGTTTGGAAGGAATTTGAGAAAGTTAGGGTTTTATATCCCCAATTCTGTCCGATTTTGTATCTCATGGTTAGAGGCCGAATTGGCCTTGTCTTAAAACATGAAAGTTGTAGGTATTGATGTGTTTGAGGTGCCTGTAAAATTTCAGGTTCATCGGAGTTGTGTAGAGTGAGAAAAGTCGATTTTACTGTTGCTGTTCTGGGTTCTTCAGGATGGCCGAACTGCGTCTGTAATTGGTGGTTTTGGCTGGAATTGCTTTGGATTTGGTTGTTGAGGCCTTCTGATGAAATGTAGCTTGATGTCTTAGCTACCGCATGCCTTTGGTATGAATGAATTTGGACTTGTATAGACTGAGTTGGACTAATTACAGCATAGTGTATTTTGTAAACCTGCAATTAAGGTTCTGGTTTGGTATTTTGCATATTTGACCTAGTTGTGCTAGGAATTGGACTGAGTGACCTTCTACATTGTTGTAGCCCTGTTTCTTAGCTTCGAAACGGTGGGTCTTACACCCTCATCCGATAAGCGTAGTGCAATTTGTGCCATTACCGCAAACTGAGGACAAAACTGTTTTTTTTTCAGGGCCAAGTTAGTTACATTTCCTGATTTTCTGGTTTGCTATAATGCTTATATATGAATATGAAACCCTATTGGGGTTGTGATTGGCATGGCTTTATGACTCGTTATCGAGTCTCATTGTATTTGTTTACGTGTTTTAGGACGTGACGAGGGTTCACGACGACCTTTTAACGACGGTGCATGAAACATCACCTACTTGAGTAGTGAGTATACTACTCACTTGAATGTTTATAATGTGGCTTTGCTATATGTGATTGTGATGCCTTGAAGGCTTGTTTGGCTATTGGACATGGTTAAGGTGAGGGTGTACTTGACCGCCCTCATCCTTTTTATCTTGTTAATGACTGTTTACCGTTTCACTGTAATACTGCACTTGCTATATGAGATATTGAATTCCATTCATGGGAAACTGTTTGGGTGTCGGTTGGACGAGTATCCAACGGCCCTACTGCATTACTGAGCTCGACCCCGTTGGTAGTTACTTGAATCGAGCCAGCGAGGGCTTGGTCGTGAAAATTGACTAGCCACGGGGACTGAAATGGGAATCTTGTGGTAATGAGACCCTTGGTTCCGGTGTACTCGAGTATCACCTAAAGCTACTGCTTGGAGTGCGGGCCCGGTTGGGGTATGTTGGGTGGAAGGAATGGAAGTGAAGTGAGGTCTACGGTCGGGTATTCTTAAACATTGACGGAGGGTCAATGAGGTTGGATCAAGAATGTAAGCGTGGAAATGGGCTCTTGAGAGCCGTCCGTATCCTTTTACCGACTTGTTTTATTTCTTAATTGCGTACTTGAGATGAAAGTTAAGTGATCTTTGTTGATTATGTGATAGTTGCTCACTGAGCTTTAGCTCACTCCGTTCCATTTGTTTTCCTTACAGGAAAAATGACTATTTTGGGAAAGGTTGTGCTAGTTGGTTGTCAAGTTGAGCTCATGTAAATGTATATTTTGAATAGCTCCTTGAGGGTGAAAACCCTAAGTGTTTTGTTTCAACCAATGGTTGGTTTGTAATTGGCCAATTGCACATGTGTGAACTTGTTGGATATTTTGGTATACCGCTTTGGCTTGTAAATGTTAAATTTCGATGTATATATGTTGGATTGATGTTTGGTTGAACTCCGGATTCTGACATGGCCGGTACTGTTCATCATCGGCTTCGATTTTCATATTTTTTTTATTTTGTGATTTTGACTTGTTTGCGCGCGTTGGTGTGTTCCGGAACGTAGTAGATCGACGTAAACTGATCCGTTAGTCCTGGCGAGAGCTGGGCAGCCAGTCCGCTAACCCCTTTGGTTCGCCTTAGGGGAAGGTGGGGCTGTTACAAGACGACCCTACTTGCCACTGTCTGCCAATTAGTAAATTTTGTCAAATAATTAATTCTGGTATATCGGATTAAGCAAACTCTTCGAGAACAGGGTGAATCAAGTAACCCATTGCACACCTAGAGTCCCTGCTCCAGTACTTAGAATTGATTATCGACTACTTTTGACGGGCGTAGGGTATACATATAACATTAAGCTCATCCTAATCAAGTTTTACATTTATAAACTCCTAAATACCCTACACGCGATTTATCGCAAGTATACGAATCGTGAGCGAGTATAGGGTATTAAAAGTCGATCTCACAATGAAGATTGCAATTACCGGCACTACTAAAGCTTCTCTATTATTTAGACTATCAATGAATTATAACAAATTTAACCTACTGAACTTATGCAAGAAAATAACAAATGAAAGCTCCTTAAGTTGTGGTATCCCTAACTACTCATGCAAGTGCTATATTTGGATCATTGAATACTACTATCTAGGCTAGTTATG